ACATCTCAACCAACTTCAAAAGCTGCAACACCAGCAAGGATCTGGTCCTACAAACACAGAAACCATCTTTTATCACAGCAAGAGGGCATTAAATATATCATACGCATAATAGCCCCAAATGCTGCACTAGCAGAAATCAGTTGTTCCACTTTTTAAAAGCGACACACAATTAATTAGCGACAAATCACCAGTGTCAACTGGGAAGGGGAGAAGATTCATGCTCAATCTCAGTTAAGAGTTTCAAACTAGAGCTGAAATAGAAGAAAGTTAAAAAGCAGAACTAGAGGTTTATGGAGGGCTTTGCAAGAGCAAGGCATCAGCCCATAGGATCTCTGAAAGGTATATTGATATCATGTGGGACCAGAGTAGGATTTTTTTCAAGTTTCTGAAAAATCTTGACCATATAGGATGGGCAGGGACCAAAACCAGCCATTCTGGAATAAGGATGACGCTGTTTCCAATGACAGGAAATCTCTGACCTAAGGAAACATCCATACAAAGCCATATGTTTCCGTCTGCTCCCCAAGAGGATACCGTCCCCAGCTTGGACATCACCTTCCTCACCCGTAATATAACCTCTGCCTCTGGTCTGTCATACCAACAGATTGTGGAAAGCTCCACAAGAGTTTCAAACCTGAGAGAATCAGTTGCTTTCAAAAAATCAAAACAGCGGGTCTTTAATACAGATTATGGATTAGGGGACCACCACGCAGGAGCTGTCATTCAAAGGGATGGCAACCTGTCTGCCACATCCACACAGGGACATGCACACAAACCGCCAGTTAGTCCCAGTAACCCAACCCCAAATCTTCCAAGAAGGGACAGAGCAACAGGCTATTGCACCCACACTTCAGAAAAGCTGGAGCTAGGATGCTGGGAAATGGAAAAACAAGAGAGTTCCCATTACCAGCTCCCTCTCAGTTCTAATGTCAGCTCAAAAACGCTTCAGAGAAGCAAAACAAAGCACTGATGTGGGGCAGGTCCACCTTATAGTAATGCCACCAGATTAAATGTTGCTGTCAGACGTCACTCCAGGTGTGCTACAGCCTGATTTTGGCTGCAGGAGCTCTCTGTGTTTGGACTATCTCCAGAGGTTTGCCCTGGTGGGAGATAGAGTGTTTTATTCCAATACAAATGTCTGGGGAAGCGAGCAACGGACAGGGCAACACATCTGGCCATGCTGAACAGGGACACAACGCGTCTTCCAAGACATGCGCCTGGAACGGAGATGAGGGCAATGCTGCTCTCATGGGTGCACAGTTAAACGGCCCATCTCCAGCTCCCTCCCGATGAACACTGCATTGACTTTCCGGCTAGCCTTTGATGTCTACAACTCCAACCCACTGTCATTCCCTGAGCCTCTGTGTGCTAATGGAAAGAGCCCCCCGCAAAGAGCCACCCCTGAACAGGCACAGTGAGATGATCAGCTCTCAGCCAGCTCCTTCTCGAGGGGAAGGGCTGGACTGCCCCACCTACACATCCTGGTGGGCTGGATGAGGGTCATCTGCATTAAAGATGTGTCTGGATATCAGGTGAATAACTACAGGAGAAGCTGCCTTGGCCCACGAGGGTTCCTGCCTAGAGAAAGACCAAAGCATGGTGTGTGCACAGTGAGACAGCAGCTCAGCACCGTGATGAGCAGCAGAATCCCTCCTTCCTAAACCAAGACCCTCACTTCACAGCCTATGAGCACTTTGCAGCTCAGGGATGAACCAGGCCATGCAACGGCTACTTAAATACACGCCACGGAAGAGACGGTCCAAGTACTTTAGGAGGGAGTGAAAGAGGAGCAGCTGAAGGAAGGAGACCTGGGGAGATGTCTCAGCCGGGAAGGCAACAGAGCTCCAGTCTCCCCATCTGCCTGTAAGAGAAGGAAAAGTTCCCTGCTTGTCTCAGGGTTACAGTTGGCTATTTGTCTTCTTCGAGCAAAGCTACAAGGCGAGGGAAGCAGAAAGGAAGAAAATCTGCTGGCATCAGCAACAAGACAATTAATGCAATCGTGCTGGTCTTCCTGGGAGTCCGAGCTGCTAAGTCAGCTGCTAAGTTACCAACCTTTGCTCCAGAACAGCAAACGAAGCAAACCTCAACATTAAAGAGCTCAGGAGATGTAAGGGAATAACACACCTTGGAGACGAGCGGCAGGAAACTTCATCCAAGGACAGTGGAGAGTTTTTACGAGCAAGAAATAGCTTTTTATAAGCAGCCATGAGACACTTTTTATCACAGCCAAGGCAGAGTATTTAACAAGGAACCTGAAAAATGAACAACAAAACCTGGCAAATACATGCCAAACACAACAGCTGCCTGGCACTCAACACTTTGGAGATAAACATGAACCCTTGTAGGACACCTCAGAGGGACTGGTTTGTCTGAAGTGTTTAACACACAAATTCAAAGAGGACATAAAAAGCAGGCAATACTTACACCTACCAAAGAGGCCCCATGTACTGAGTCCCCAAAAATCAACAATGTACTGTACTTTAAACGTATGTGGGTGTACTGCTGATTTAAATCTCTTCCTTAGCTTCACACCCAAGTGCTTCGCTTATCCCTAGTGACTCCTCACCCCCTCTGCTCTGGACAATGAAGCTGCTGCTGTCAAATACTGGCCAGGGCCCAGCACAGTGC